AATCTCTGAACGAGAGACTCGAGTCGCTCATAGAGAGATCCTCATTTCGTATCCAGTCTCTGAACGAGAGACTCAAATCTCTGAACGAGAGACTCGAGTCGCTCATAGAGAGATCCTCATTTCGTATCCAATCTCTGAACGAGAGACTCGAATCTCTGAATTAACAACTTTATCGTTCGAGTCTCTCATACAGAGACTGTGAGAGATCCATAAAAAACACCTAGGCCATGACTGAGAGACTGTGAAAGACTGTGAGAGACGCTCTTACAGACGCTGAAAGACTCTGAGAGACTGAAAAATTTTGTCTAGGTATGATAAGTCATTTTCCTGTTTAATTTTTATTTTTGATTTCCTCAATATTTCGGCGTTACGAATGGTGGATTTTCACCAATTTGCAGTTCAATGTACCTCTTCAGGTTAACTTTTAGAAATAATTGATTAATGTAATTGTACAGCAATGTAGAAAAACTTTGTACCTATCGAATAGGTATGAATACTACATATTATATATATCATGTACATACATATATGTATAGTTGTTTTAATTGACAATAGATTAGTCGCCGTGAAACTGTTTGACGATCTATTGATTGACCACCGAGTTGTCGCCGGGGTGGTATATCGTGTTAACGTCAAAATCAAACAATGAGTTACAAAAGCGGGGATGATATCCATAGCGATCGAAGCATCGAGAGGAAAATGTCGACAGAGAGGAAACCGGCACTTAATTTGCATGTCAAAGAGTCAATTATGAGGCCAGGGTCCCGGTTACTGTGTTCCAATTATTTTTCTCAAAGGTGCGCGACATCGAAATGCCCTCTATAAAGCTCATTAGCACTGATTAAAACGTTAACGAGGATCAGTAGTCCTAATTGAGTCGTGACATGGCACGTTTTCACAATCAAATGTTGATTATTGCTAAAATGGAAAACTTGATGTTATGATTTCCAATTACATATGTACATATAGGTATGAGGATTAAAAAATTATTGTAAAAGAAGCTTTTAACCGTGGTTTCACTCTCCTTGATGTCCTAAATGCGTGTCAAAGATCATCGAAAATACAATAATTTGATAAATTTGTTCTTAACTCCTGACCAGGATCATCAGGATAAAAGAAAAGTTTCTAATTTTCTAGGTTAAACATACACTCACATACGTAGAATTGCAGTACTTAAAAACTGTCTTTATCGAGATTAAAAGAAATCTTTCTGTCCCTCAGGAACAATATTTTTTTCTGGGTAAAAGATACCTTATGTCCTTTGCTGTACCCCTAACAATATATGTACAAAATATGATGATGAACAATTGAGTAAACAAACAAATTAGCATCGCATTTATAATATTAGTTAGGATTTTACGATAAACATTACATCATGCTTTAATTTGACTTAAATAATGAAAACTTAAAAAAAAAATACTGATTATCTTTAAAGAAAGAAAGAGGAGGGTATAGGTACAGGTACTTTAATAGCAGATTTTTGTTGGTTTTACAGAGGAAACTGTCTTTAGCTAAATGTTGCTTAGTTTTGGTTACTTGTACGCACCTATATATAAAACCACTTTTTACAAAGGGTAGAGACCTCATAAATTAATCTTAAAATATGGGGATCAAAACAGCAGGAGGGGTATATTTAAACAGTGAGGGGGAAAATTTAATCGTTTAAAGGTTGGCTTACTTAGGGGAGTTATAAAAACCAAGCTTGGTGATAGACAATAGCAAAACAAAAGCATTACCTATGCAAGTGTACCATTTTGGATTTTAAATTTTTTAGGAAAGCAGTTTTATAAATTCAAAATGCCGGTCACAATTTTCAGGCAACTGTACCTAGATAAATGTACCTAATGAACCAACACCAACTTTTAGCCTCCTGGTAGGAGTTTTATCAAAGTTTCCAGTATCATAATTGTTTATTGTTTATTAGGATTTTATACAATTGTTAAGTCTAATTTTTTGGGTATTTTTGTTATTTATAGTAGAAATTGTAATAATTATTCTACCATGAGGCAAAACATTGATGTAGGTCAACATTGGCAACTGGCGGACTACGGTCCAGGTCCGGACCTCGCAAGGTCCAAAAATTGAATCGCCAAAAATTTTTTGCCTAAAATTACCTGCCGACCTCTAGTGTAGGTCCTAAATTAATAAAAAATTTTCTATTATATTCTCTTAGCTGTAATGTCTTTATATTACGAATTAAGGAAAAAAAAGTGAATCGCGATTTCTTTGCAAAAATGACCATCTTTGGTTTGTACTAATATCTATAACGAGTGCGCTTGCATATTGCTCGGGTTCGCTTCATTTAAACTAAATAGGTGGATTAGCGAAGATCGCCAGGAGCCGAGGCATAATCAGTTAGGGCATAATGAAGCGGCACGGCGCGGTTGGAACTTCCTGCAAGAAGGACTTGTTCAACTCGTTGTCAGCCGCTTATTTAATTAGAGTAGCTGGGCTCCTTATTACGCCAGCCAGTCCTAAATGCGTTTACATTAGACTCCTCTACACAAAACAAACAGAAAACTTTTAGTAATAAAGACAGCGGAATTTTGAGATCACCGCCCGTTCTTTAAAGTCGGGGAAAATATTTTAACACTCTTCTATAAACAACAGGAATAAGGTCCCTTTTATTACGCATTTATTAGCTTAATTTTTCGTTGTCAGCAGGATAATTTTTATAATCAACAATATTGGTTTTTGTTAAAATAGAGTCTTCAGAATTTTATATATCTACGGGAGGAAGAAATAGAAGAAGTGGCTGATTTTCGGTATTTAGGATGTCAGATAGCTCCGGATGGAAGGTGCTGTAGAGATATACAACAGAGTAGCGCAGGACAATAAAAAGAAGTCACTTATATGCTCGCGAACGGTTAATTTAGAAATAGAAAAAGATTGCTAAAAGTGTACGATTGGAGAGCGGCGCTGTACGGGTGCGAAACATGGACGATGGGCGCGGCGCATAAAAAAAGGTTAGAATCGTTCGAAATGTGGTGTTACAGGTGAATGATGAGGATACCGTAGAAAGAGAAGGTTAGAAATGAGGAGGTGTTAGAAAGAATAGGAGAACAGAGGACTCAATGGAAGTTAATGCAAAATAGGCGAGATAGGTTGGTAGGACATCTTCTCAGACATGAAAGACTAGTCAGAAACATATTAGAAGCATAAACAGGAGTTAAAAGGAGTACAGGTAGACCTACATTAGATTACTGTTCACGAATGATTAAGGATGTGGGATGTTCTACTTTTAGGGAAATGCGAATATTAGCTCAGGATAGGGATGAGTGGAGGTGCGTGTCTAACCAGTCAGTCTTAGGACTAATGATGATGATGAGGGTACTTGGGTAAGTTAGTGCGACGTAACTATTTGCAATTGTTATTTTTATTTCGCTAAATGACGAACGCCACAAAACAGTGAAGTATCTTTTTCTCTGAAACTATCTTGGTACTTTAATTTGTATTTTATGAATACGTTTCATAAACAGTAAAGGTAAAATTGGAAGGATATAGATCAGGTGTTTACAAATTGAGGTGCAACCCGAGTATTAAAGTTTATATGTATAGAACATCCTAGACGTACCTATACGTAGAATAAAGGTACCTACCTATTACGGAACGTAAAAAACTATTTTTATTGCAAAACGCTAAAGCAACATGAAGATTATAATTTACTAATATTTTTGCAATTTTACATTTTACTTTAAAAAGTGAAAGTTATAGACTTTTGAAAATTCTGGAGAGAGAAGAACACCAGTTTACTTTTAAATTATTATCATTTAGATATTAATAATTCACCCTTACTCAACCTGTTTTAAGTCTCCCCTTTTACTTTGACCACAACTATATTTATGTTAAGCGAAACCTTCGCTGATAACAGAAATTACACACAATTTTCCTCTTTTCATGTCGCCAGAGCGAAAAGCTTTAAATTATATTTATTAAAATTATATAATCTTATTATTTATACATATACCCATGAAAAGATAGCTGAAGGAATTTGTATGAATTGTTCTATACCTATCATGTCTTAGTTTTCAAAAGATGACGCAATCCTTTGATAATTTATGTGTAATAGAACATCCCTATGATGTTCCCTTTTCACCACTAGTGTATAGGCAAGTTCCGCATTCAAATGCAAATTTTATTGTTAAACTTCTCATAAAGCATTAGTCTTAAATTTTGTGAAAAGTAACATGGAATTTTATTTACAATGCGAACAATAAATACAGTCTAATGGCTACTTAAGAAAATTACCCTTACCTTTACACTTGCAACATTTTCTTGGTGGATTTCTCTCTCATCGTGGAAGAACCTTCACAATAGTCACACTTAATGTCAATTTTAACACTTGCATTGTCCGAAAACGATAATTAACTTGTAATAAAATAAAGTATAAAACCGGCCGGCATCAAAACGTATCGTCTTTATTCGCGTCCTACTAATAAATGAACGACAATAATAACGTGCGCATGTACGACTAGAGTACGTATGTGTGAGTTTGTGTCTGTATTCGGTGTCGCTGTGTGGTGCGAATAAGCTATTTAAGAAAGCATAAAAAACTTTAGAGATAAGACCGGGCAAAAAAGGATTGTTTACTTAATACCATTCTAATAGCTAAGCATTCGCTTAGAATTGACTATTTGAAGGAAAAGTAGCAGAAAAGAATGTGCTTGTCTATTTATAAAAACGTTTTACAATTATTTGAATAAATCAAGTAGATGTACATTGTACAGGGCGTTTTTTAGAAACTGCTGTATATGATACTTTTTATAAACATAAATTCGTTTGATACAAACCTAATTTATGAATTTGACGATTTCCCTTGTCGATTAAAACATAAAAAATTATAAAATGTAAAAACTACTGTACTAAGTATTTCTGATATAGTGTTATTTGGTAAAGCTATCGTAAATAATTATTATGTGTGTTTAATATAATTTTATATTATTTAAAGGATGAACTAAATAATTGGATTAACTACGCTGTGTTAATTTCTCATTTGACGGCTCATAGCTGAGTCATTTTTCTACTATGAAAGGAGTCAACTATGAAATGTTAAATGATAAATTAACACAACATAATATATCCAACTATTTCATTGCTAGAACTAATATTCTTTTTACAATTAAAGTAAATACAGTTTTGGTATTGTCTAATACTATAGATCTAGCAGCACAACCCTTTTCTTTATTAATCTTATATAGGTAAGGCAAAATTTTCACCTATCCTGTAAATTACTGAGATACATAGGATAGTGATTTTACCATGTTATCCACTATAGTTAGTGGTTCATGATTTCATTCTGGGGGGGCTTTTCAGTAAATACTACCCTCACCAATGTCCCAAACTACATTAAGTCATTTAAACAATGTACAAATGAAATTTTAATTCTTGGTTGGCGGATTTTGAACCAGAAGATTGACTTGATTCAAATTAGGACAAACGACCTATCCGAATACAATCTTAATTACCAATTTTTGTAAGGCAGGCTTTTTGCTACACTTATTAAGTTATATGACTATTATTGATGATGTTGGCTTTTTCTTTTTTGTTTTGGTAGAATTATCACTGCCGAGTACTCGGCGCCATTATTCGATACTCCGCCGATCCAGCCGGGTACCCGATCCAAATCGGGAATCCGGCTGATCTCTAGAAATTATACAATTTTTTGTCAGCATTTTCGCAGTTCATATAACACTAGAGGCTCTTGCCTGAATTACAAGCGACCTCGATTTGATTCCCGACCTATACTATATATTTTTAACCATAAAATAAATCGGTAGAATAGTACCGTTTTAATCCCTTGCCCTATTAATTACCTTCTCTTACGGTGTTCCCTCGTTGTATGCTTTCTTGATGTTCTTTTAATCTTTTAACTGTTTTCTTCTTGTTTTGGGGCATCATCTTGTACGATACGTTCGCGTTTTATATAGCGAACAAACTACTGTTCATGTTGAAAGATAATTTTCCATTCAAACATTCCTGGTGGCGATAACCTTCTCTCCTTCTTTGTCGTATCAGGACAGATGCGATGTGGCAAACGTATTCCACAGACGAACCCGAAGGAGATTTTTCAGAATAAAAAGAAGACGAAACGAAAACAGATTTACAACGAAGCAAGTCCATATTTTCCATTAAATCGCCCACTATTTGTATCCGTCGCTGTCGTTCTTTTATATTTCTCGACTGTTCCATTAATATTTCCTATGTCAGAGGAACAATCTGAACGGGAGGATAACACACACGGGTTAAAGGTTTATATTGAGCACTATCCGGCAGTTTTCGTCCTGAAATTTGTGTCCCTCGTGCCCCTCTCCCTTCCAAAAGTCCGCTGGTCCCTTTTTTGCACCTAGACTACCGAAGAAGATCGTAGCTCGCCGTAGTTTACACCCTTGAGATAACCCTCCCTCATGATTTAACATCAAAATATGTACCCGTACCCTTAATCTGACACCTTAATAACCGCATGACCTGAATTACAAATCAACTACAAAGTTATATTGACCTAAAGAGTAACCTAAACGGTAAATTACAGTAAATAACTATCTACGTTTTTATTATTGTGAGATTTTTAATTTATTTTACTCTAAGGACATTCTTGTAGATTCCTTTTTTCTCTAACAGGCTTGAAATTGAAATCCTGGACCTAACTTCTAGAACAACAATTTGATGTTATTTAGAAAATACTACAAATGGCGCAGTAAACGCCATCTGTAGCACGATGCTACATTTTAGGATTACGTATGCTCCAACAAGGTCCACTTGTGTGGATATCTACTTGCTGAAAACGAATCCCGGCGTAGCCAACCTCCACGTGATAGGCACGTTAGGTTAATCGAATAAAATAATTCGAAGTGGTCTGTATTCTGTCGAAACTGCCAGACGCGAATCGCGATTTCGATCTTTTTGGATCTCATCAGCGCAACGCAGGCAGCTCCGACAGAACACAGACCAACTTTTACCTGCTGTCATAACAGTGCGTTTTAGAAAATACTACAAATGGCGCAGTAAACGCCATCTGTAGCATGAAGTTTTCTGCAAGTAGATATCCACACAAGTGGACCTTGTTGGAGCATATGTAATCCTAAAATGTAGCATCGTGCTACAGATGGCGTTTACTGCGCCATTTGTAGTATTTTCTAAAACGCACAGTTAAGACAGCAGGTAAAAGTTGATCTGTGTTCCGTCGGAGGTGCCTGCGACGCGCTGATGAGATCCAAAAAGATCGAAATCGCGATCCGCCTCTGGCAGTTTCGATAGAATACAGACTACAGACCACTTCGAATTATTTCATTTAATAATTTGTTGGTTTAAAAATGTTTTGTTCAAAATTGGCATTGTCCTCCTTGAATCACATTATTGGAACTAAATGTTAAGTGTTCATTTTTTGTGTACCCCTGAAAGATAAGCTACCTATGTCTTTAGTTTTACTTATACAGAAATTTAATTATAAGAATTTATCGTCTTTTACTAATAGATAATAGGAACTACAAGTGATATCGTTGCTTTTCATCTTTCTTTTAGCCTTCAGTGCCGGTAAGAAACGTAACAATGTAAAGTAAAAATGAGCCAAAGTGTCTTTACGAGCCTGATATGCTATCGTGGCTTCAGTCGAATCATCTAGTGCTCGTAAATGTCATGTTTAATGGCCTTTCTCTAAATCGCCTTTTGACTTCCACATATTGTGTGTGAGTGTGTGTGTGTGTGTGTGTATTTTTCCTTCCACTTTTTCTATCTCCGCTTTTCCTGTAGGTACTACTCATCGGCAAACCGGCCAACCAGCCGCTAACGCCCAAACCTTTCACTGGACGAAAACACTTTTGTGATAATTAACTTTGACATAAAACGTTTGTTTTTCCTTTCTTTTTTCCTTCGGCTTTAAGACGTTCCTCGATTGGAAGAACATGTAATAAAACTGCAGAACTAAATAATAAAAAAGTTTATCTAATCAGGATGGGAAGGAACCACTGAATTCGGAAAACTTTTTCGTTACTTTTGTACATAAATGCATAACTCGATAATATTGTATAAGTATAACTTAAAAGCGTTAATCAAAAAAAAGATTGAAATCTCACTGAATTAAATCAAATAAATAAAAAAGAATAAATAAAATTACTAAGAAAAAGCAGATTTCTATTCAGACCATAGCCCGAATCTTCATTCTATAATGGATTCCGGCCGTGGAAGCCTTTGTTCTTATATTACTGTTTTACGTTGAACAGAATTTGGCTTCAGATTATATTTCAAGTACAACCTAATCTTAGAACTACGAAATTTGGCCCTTTCATAGGTAGGTCTACCCATAGACCATAGATCAGCGGTCGGGGAACCGGGGTAAATTACCCCAAATGGGTAAAAATGAGGGGTAGAGGTAGACCTAGATTAGATTACTCTTCGCAAATAGTTAAGGATGTGGGCTGTTCTAGTTTTAGGGAAATGCGAAGTTTAGCTCAGGATAGGAAAGAGTGGAGGTACGTGTCCAACCAGTCT